CGAGCGCCGCGCGCTCGGCCTGCTCTGCGTCGTCGCCGCGGTGGTCGCGCTCCTCGCCGGCGGGCTCCGGCGGGCGCCGCCGCGCGGCGGCGACGTCGTCGCGCTGGGCGAGGCGCGGTCCGAGCTCGAGGCGCTCCACGCGGAGATCACCGCGGCGCGCGACGAGCTCCGCGACGCGCGCGACGAGATCAAGCGCCTCTCGAAGCAGATGCAGGCCGCCGTCCGCGAGGCCCGGCGCGCGGCCGGCGGCGCCGAGCCGCGGCCGCGCCGCGCGAACCCGCTCCTCAACGTCGTCACGCTCGGCGCCGCGGGCCGCCGACAGCGGCGGCGACGCGGCGACTAGCCCGCCACGAGGAGCCTAGCCCGCCTCGAGTTTAGGATCATTGCCTCTCGAGGCGCACCGTGAATCGCGGAACTCGCTTCTCGATGAAGTCTCGCGAGACCACCTCATACCCTTGCTGGAGCGAGCCGTCTTTCCTGGTGCCGCCGTAGCGGTAGGTCACCGTGCGCGCGTTCAGGTCCGCGCTTTCGAGAATCATCGTAATCGCCGACCCGTCGAAACTGGTGGCCGAACCGCCCTCCGCGGAGTAGGTGCCGGGAAATCGCACGACCTTCACAGGGAGGCAGCACAGCGAAATCGTCATCGTAAGGTCGAAGCTGCACGACGACGCCGCGCCGCCCCGCGTTACGGTCTCCACGAGGTCGACGGTCGTACAACTGCCTAAACTGGCGCGCCCGGCCCATCGCCCGACCCGCGTCTCGAAGAGCTCTCTGGCCAGCGCGAGCTCGGCAGAGGACACGACGGAAGGTTGAACCGGCAGAAGACACGACGGCGACTGCGAGAGCAAGGTCAGGCTCGCCCCAGCCACACCGTCTCCGCCAAACGCCGCCGCAAGGTAGAAGCGCTTGGCGGGCAGGTTTTTGTACGTCGAGCGTGTGCCGGGCTTGCCGTTCACAGTGAACGAGAGCGTGTGCTTCTCGCAGTCCAGGTGCACGCCCAGGACGTCGCCCTCGGCGTACGTAGGCAGGCCGCTGAGCCACCCTTCGCCCCGTCCGTGCCTCATCCTGATCTGATCGTAATTTCCAGAGCCATACCTCGAGGGGACGCAGACCGTCCACGCCTCCGAGGTCTGGAAGATGGCGCGCCGGCCGAAGCCTTCGTGCCAATCCGACTTGACTTCATCAGTTGCGACGCCCACGCACAGGCGGCCCGGACTCGCGATCTTGACGTCCCAAGTGTGCTGACCAGACGCCACGCCGCCCTCGCTCAGCACCGGCCGGTAGCGGCCAGCGGTCCCGTCGCCAGTTTTGGGGTTTCTGGCCACGTCGGTCACCGTCAACCCGTCTGCGGATATGTCAATCTTGGGGCCGCACACGCGCCGGCCCCAGCGATCCGCGGGCTGGAGCTTTCGAGCCATTGGAGGTTGCGCCGCCACCGGGGCGACCGCGCCGACGCCGACGACGGTTCCCTCGATCACGGTTCCCGCGAGCGCGGCGCCAGCCGCGATCTCGCCGCCCGTCCCCTCGCCGAGCAGCTCGCGACACTTCTTCGCCCGCGCCACAAGCGTGCCCGTGTCGTCGACCCCCAACACACGACACGCTGAAGACACCACTTCGGTCACGTTCCCGGAGAGTTCGAGCTCGCGCTTGAGGACCGCGCAGGTCTCCGCGAGCGTCGGCTCCGCAGCGGGCTCCCACGCGGCGACTTTCATCGCCTTCCCGACGACGCTGGCGGACAGGAGTGTCGGAGGCTTCCTCTTGCTAATGCGCAGCCCCGGCACGTTGACCATATCTACGTCAACGACGGCTGCCCCCGAGCGACTAATAAAACGGGCATTGTTCTCGTGTTGTTATCGACAGAAGCCCTCTCGTCCCCGGGGGTGCCATGGTCGGCACGCGGGGTGGCCGCGCCTCCCTGGACCGGC